TTCCCCCCCCCCCCCCCCCCATTACTCCATTGAAGAAACTTTTCATTTTCAGGCAATTAGTTCAGATCCAGCTGGAGTCGACAATAATGATTGCTGTCTAAAGACATCTCAGTGACTTTTATCAAATGAGCTTGCAACATCAAAGGAATCCTGTATGGACAATGTCAATAATACAGACATCACTGTTAGGACTGGTGTTCTTCTTCACTGTCTCGATAATAAGAAAAACCATTGAATGAGTATGTGGACCGAATGCACCTGGTCTTTGGGTGGTCCGTAGAAAACGCAGGACAGTGGAGGGGGAACTTTCTTCCTGTTTTTTCTAGGGCTGTCTGTCCAATAGTTTTTTGTTTGGCAAAATTCACTTGCAAATTTTAAGAGACTACACAAATGGAGGGTGGAAAAAAGTTGCCTCCTTGTGATCTGCAGCTTTGTTTCCCCAAGTACTATCACTGCTTGGTCTGGGCTGTCTTCCTTTTCATTATGTGATTAATCAGCTGTTGAAACAGCTAAAACAAATAAAAAAGCTATGAGTACCAAGCAAACCACTCCAACAAGCCAGCTACACAATACCATCCTTTTTACAGTACTCTTACTATGATTTATACCCTGTGTCTAAGTTTATGTTCTAACTTCTCTACTTTTCCTAAGGCGCTGTATTAAATTACATGGTTTTAGGCTAGGAGGCCGCATGTCTTCTAATGTGAATGAAAAAATGAAATTTTAAGTACAGACTAATGGATCACGAAGACTGCTGTTGGACTAGGCTTCTAAAAATGGTATGAAAATGTAATGGCAGAGCATTTGTTCTGTATTTTCAGAAAATATCTCAAGGCTGTCTTGGAAGGCAAGAGACCAAAGCTAAAATACAGAGGCAGATCAGGTTGCACTGCCCATGGTTTGTAGGTAGGATGTCATTCTCAAAATTGCCACAAGAGAAATTTTTTTTTTGTACACCTTCTTTAATTGATGTGGTCTCCTCTGCTCTTGGGTATCACCCCCTTCCCCACCATTATTCTAGGGATAGGCAAAATCCAGCCTGCAGCGCACTCCATTTCCCAGCAGCCCCTGCCTGCATCTTTGTGGCTGGTTTCCATGGAGACCCCAGCAGCAATGGCACCATGACAGCGCAGGGGCGGGGTTTCCATGGAGACCAGCCCCAGCAGCATTGGCAGGGCACCCAGCTAAGCAGGGAGCTGCTTTGGGGCTGGGATTGTGCAGCAGTGACAGTGAGGTCCGAAGCTGGAGCGGAGCTGCAATCCACTGCCTGCACGTCCTGGACAGGGGTGTGCAGGCAGCAGATTGCTGCTGTGCCCCAGCTCCGTACCATGCTGTCACCCCTGTAAGATCCCAGCCCTGGCCCTGGAGCAGCTCCCTGCCCAGCC